ACAAAAACATGTATGCAGACTTATATATATAAAAAAAATATGAACATGCAAAACCATTAATGGAAGACATGAAAATGATGAGTATATATGAAATCAACATTTACCAACATCTAGTTTTTATGTATAAATCTAACAACAGCTTGATTCAAAAAAACTTTAATGATAAATTTACAAAAAATGTAAACAAAAAAATATTCTCCTTAGATTAAACCAATGGAATACTTATAAATTACCAAGAATTAATAGTAAGTATTCTGAATATGGAATATCATACCGCGGACCAAAACTATGGAACACTTTTCAAAAAACAAAAAATTTAAATACTGTAAAATCATTAAATTCCTTCAAGTTTATAATAAAAAATGAAATTTTTAAATTAGATAAATAGTTTTCTTGATTTTTCGAAATGAAAATCGAGTTCCATTATTCTTAGTTTTTTTACTTGTTAATTGGCTCTTATTTTGATATTTAACAGAGTTGCCAATATATTTTAATGAGTATTGATAAAAAATATATGATGTTATTTACTTTCTTGATTTAATGGAAATATTTATGCAAGCTTTAACCTTTTTATTATACTGGAGATACTATTTTTTTTAACTTGTAAAGCCTAGAGGCTCTATGAAAAGATTGTGGTGACTTTAGTCATCCGTATCTTCTTTGAGCCCCTGCCTGTTTTTTATAAATTCACTTTTTTTGTATGTAAACGTTTCTTTGTAATTATATTTCTTATTATAAAAACAGCAAATATGTATTAAAAATAAAAATAAAAAAATGTATATTTTTAAATAGCTACAGTAAAATGCTTGGTTTGGCTTCTTTACTCATCCAGCTAGCGAAAATTGTCTGGTTCATCAAGTTAAATTACAGTTTTCTGTTATTCTAAAGCATTTGAAGTTGTCAACTTTCTTAATATTTTTTAAAAAATGAGAAAAGTCTGTAGAATAAAATGAAGAACAATAATTAAAAAAAAGAGAAGAGGTTTCTTAGGGAAGAAATTTAACTGTCTCGACAAAGAAAATACTGAAATAAGGTTGAATCATAACCCTGCTGTAACAATATTGACTGATTCAAATACTACAACTGTCAATAATAACTCTGTAAATAACGAATCTGAGTTAAATTTATTTTCTACATCTGTATCTGCGAAAAAGGTAAAGCCAATTGAATGTTCAAGAGCTTTTACAAGAATGAAAATATCTGGATATAGGATTATAGATTGCTCTATATTATCTCACATATTTAGTGCTTTAGCATGTCGTCAATGTGGTGAATGTTTATCCTTGTCATTGTCCGAAAAAATGCAAGACAAAAAAGGATTTGCCTCAAAGTTTATTATCAGGTGCTATAACTGCAAATATGAAAATGAGTTTTATACTTCAAAACAATGTAACAGAGCATATGATAATTATTGTAGAACAGTATACGCAATGCGTTCAATTTTTTTTTTTTTTTTTTTTTTTTTTTTAAATGTTGATTTTAGGTGCCCCAAGAAGTCCTTACGGTCTTATCACAGAGCACCGCGGAAGAGCATTTAATAGGAAGTTCACGCCTCCTTCCCAACCGATGTCGCAAAGCTTGCCCAGAGGCGGGGTTTGAACCACGGGTCTTACGTTTCTGAGGCAAGTGTGCTACCACTGCGCCACGGCTGCTTGAATTGGACAGGGACATTCTGGTATAGGAAAATTCACCACTATAATGAATATGCCACAACCAATGACACAAAATAATTATGATAAATTAGCTGTGAAATAGGTGCTGTCACACAAAAAGTTGCTGAAGATACCATGTTTGATGCAGAGCAGAATTGCGAAAACATGCTGCTAATGATGATGTTTTTGATATTGGTGTGTCATGCGATGGTACTTGACAGAAAAGAGACTTTTCATCATAAAACGGTGTTTTTTCTGCATTACCAATGGACATTGGAAAAGTTTTAGATGTGGAACCAATGTTCAGGTTCTGCAAAGGTTGCTTTTTGAAGAAAGATCTTTAAAAAACAAACCCTACAGCCTATGCCCAATGGAAAAACTCTCAGATTTGTAAAAATAATTGCAAAGGATCTGCAAGCGGTATGGAGTCCAGTGGTGCAAAACGTGTATTTTTAAGATCTATAGATAAGTACAAACTGCTAATGAATCCTTTTACAAACGCTAATGAATCCTTTAACAGTATGATTTGGGACCGAGTACCAAAGACCAGGTATGTGTCATTTGATAATTTGAAATTTGGTGTGTATGATGCGGTAGCAAATTTCAATATTGGTATGAAAGCTTCAGTGATTATTGAAACCTTTAACCATAAAAGCTCCCGGTAACAATTAAACATGTTACCAGGAGCTTTTATGGTTAAAGGTTTCAATAAAATAAACAACAAACGAATAAAACAATCTAATTATAAAATGAATGAAAAGAATAAGTTGAAACGACAGCTAAATAGAACAAAAACACTTGAAAAAAATGACAATCATTTGGAAAAAGAGGGTATAACATATGAACCAGGAGGATTTTAAATACTTTTTTTTATTTAAAGAGGTTAATGATTGTTTTGTTTTTTATAATGAAAAAAAATGTTAATTTGCCTTTTTCTCAGTATGAAGTATTTAAGACGCCGGCCAACATTGCTCGCCAACCATTCAAGAGCCGTTCATAGAATTTTCAGTGAATGCTTATTGTTTATTAAATGGTGTAGAGTGTTTTAAGTTAAACAGTTTTTTTTTTTTTTTTTACACCTGCTGTTTTAATGCTATATTATTGAATATTGAAATTTGACTTCAAAATGCCTGAATTTATATTTGTAAAAAAAAATTCTGTTCAACTTAAAACACTCTTCTACTCTATGTAAACACCATATAAAAATTTCAACTAGGCTTGTTTTGTTCCCTGCCCACAATATTGGCCGACGTGAAGCCTGTTTTTGCTGGTTTTTGGTAATTTTTTATGGTTTCCATAGCAACAGGCTACCATTTTATTTTTTTAAATACTTTTTTCTAATTTTTTTATTTATATATGCTATTGATTTGACAAATATTTTTTTTGTAAAAATTGATTTAAAAATCAGAGGGGGTTTTCCCCCTTAATTGATGAACGATACCTTTACTGTTTTAATTATTTGGTGACAAAAAAAATATTTTTAACTTATTTCCAGAAAACTATTTGGATATCGGTAAAAAATAAAGATGCGTAAAAGTATCCGGAAAAAGATAATCCCTACATTACGCCTTTGCCGAATTATAGGAAAAGTCTATTGGGGTGATTTTATCTTGTGGTGTAGTGGCATTGTATCTCTTGATCTGAATAGTCGTTAAATAAATCTCTTCAATAATAAGATATCACCCAGATTTCTTATGCACTTCAATAGATGGATTAGTTTGCATTGGTCTAATTGGAAATCTGATGTTAGATTACTAACTTGTAAAACTCCTGCTAAAAATTCAGGTTTACCATAAAGACTTTTGACTGTAAATGAATGTACAATAGTAGCTAATTTCTCTGGATAATTTACAGCTTTTCCAAAAGTATTTCTGCTTTGATATAATAACCCAGCTTTTACATAAACTTCATTTATCAATATCGAGCGGATCTTTTGCTGCTTAAGATTTTATTTAAAACTTTATTTGAAAACATAAATAAGAAAAACTTTTTTTTTAAAAGGCTGAGGCATGAGCTACAACACACATGCTTCTTGTTTTGGGCTATACTTCTATTGACTTGAAATTAAACAAAGTGGGGAGTAAAACTTCTTTGCCCTCTTGTTTCCTGCGCAAAGGAGTTTTGCACTTTTACATGCAAATCTTACATATAAATCTTCAACACTTTCATTAACTGTTTCTTTTTCAATTTTGAGAGTTTTCCTCAGCAGTAAGCGTTGGTTTTAGCTGAATCAGTTATCGTAAAATTCATTCTCGATATAATCTATTTTAGATATGGAATTGCATTGTGCCATTAGTTGATTAAATACGATTTGTATAATCATGCCCGCGTAAAAAGATAAATCTGGTATTAAGTTCGTTTCATTTCTAAAAAGTTACTTTTTTAGAAATGAAAACACAAAAATCCCAGCAAACATTTTGCAGTAGATCTATATAGACATTTTAAGCTCATCGGTTATTTAGTTGTATACGCATCGCATAAGTGCCCATCCGATAACTTTTCAACATGTGATATGGCGGCCAGTTATCGGATAACCACTTTTAGTGAATACCACTGTTGGTTCACTAAGTAACCTATGAGCAAAACTAGTGGTCCGCTCTAAATGCCTCTATAGGTCTACTAAAATTCCGCTAAAGAATATGGCAAACATGGGGTAGCGTCTAGAGAAATGGCCTCAGAATCGTAAGGTCCAATGCCTGTTTTGGACAATTAGGCATCATCGAAAGATAGGCGGCGTGAACTTCTTCGTTAAGACCTTCTTAAAGCACCTTAACAATCCGAGACAAAAATAAAAAAAACCTTATTTAAAGATGTTATGTCAACAATCCGAGACAAAAAAAAAAAAAAAAAAAAGGTTTTGTTGTAAATATATATAAAATATTATAATTTATCAATAAGACATATTTATTCATAACAACGTTAAAACGTTGCAGTTTAATGTTGAAAAGAACAATTGATCAAATATATTTTTAAATTTTAGGTGCCTCAAGAAATCCTAACGGTCTTATCACAGAGCACCGCGGAAGAGCATTTTAAAAAAGTTCATGCCTCCTTCCTTACTGTAGTTAAAAACTTTCCAAAGGTGGCGTTGAATTGCGGGTTTCTAGCTTCTTAGGCAAGCGTGCTAAACATTGCGCAACGGCTTTTTAATATTAATTCGCAGTAATATATTTTCTACAAAGCAAAATGTAAAAAAGTACTTTCAATTAATTTTATAAATTTGTGAATATTTAGATTTTCTTTATATATATATATATATATATATATATATATATATATATATATATATATATATATATATATATATATATATATATATATATATATATATATATATATATATATATATATATATATATAAATTTAAATTTTGATATCCACCTCTTCTGTATTAAAAGATTCATTGCCTTCTTCGTCGTCTGTTTTTTCTATTACTTTTTTGGTCATATCATTGCCGAAATTTTCCAAAAAACTTTTTTGGAACCATTTAAATTGATTTAACTTTCGAGTTAATAATTTCTTTTTAAACTCTTCATCGCCTTCATGTGAACCTTTTGATATAAGCAGACTGACGAAGTCACTATCAGTTGTGAGAACAATAGCACGAATTTTATTTTCAGACAGATAAGTATTATCTTTAAGAAAACCTTCTTCTTTTAAATATTCGTAGCGTTCCCTTATCCGTCGTGTTGACGAAGAAAAGATGCGAGGAAACTTAATAAATAAAACAAGACTTCCGCCCATTATCTCATGAACCAGTTTGATCTAACAACAACAATAAAAAATTAAACCAACAATTTTTTTCGGACAAAAAAATGTTGCTGATTAAAAAAGAAAAAAACAAAAAGTATATTACCTTTTCCTCTACCGCTTCTACGCTATATGTTAATAAGGCTGGGTGCTTCATGATGAGTTCATTTAACTGTTGATTATTAAACCCAACTTTCCGTAAGCTGCTAATTTTATTTTTAAGATCTTGTTCACTGCATGCTAATAAAAGCGATGGACACTTTTGTACAAGGTAGATGCAACGATCTTGTGTTAAATGAGGTGTTATTGCAATTTTTTTAAGCAGGTTAAGCTACAAAAATTAAACCATGAATGATCATAAGCTAAGAATATTAAATACTATCCTAAAAACAACATTTTCTAATATAACCCTTGAATAATAGCAATACCTTACTAGACAAAGTTGTTTCCAAGTCCAAAAGGATGACTGAGGGGCATTTAAGAATCATTTTCTTTATAGTATCTTCAGGTAAAGAAGCTTTTTTTAAACTATTTATTCTAGACGTTAACTTTGCTTTAGATAGCTCCAAAATTCGTGGTTTTTTAACTAACAATTTCTCAAATTCTTCAATTGTAAATCCTAATTCTGTAAATAGCTTTGCAACTCTCTGCATTTGAGAAACACTCTCATCTTTTTCACATACATCTTTTTCTTCGGTAAAACGCAATAACTAAATATATATGCATACATAGATAGATAGATTGATAGATACATACATACATACATACATTCATTCATGTATACATACATATATACATACATACATTTATTAGACTAAAATTTTATCTATTTTTTATTTCAGGTGTATTTAAAATGATAAAAAATTATAAAGAATGAAAAAAATATGCTGATATTCAAAAATTTTACACCAAGTTCTTACACTTATCTTAGATCAATATTTTTAATGTATTTAGTCATTAAATTATATTATTTAGTTTATGTATAAAAACCAAGTTTCAGATAGCACACAAATATATATATATATATATATATATATATATATATATATATATATATATATATATATATATATATATATATTAGAACGGTACTGATCTAAAAGCACTAAAGTGTGTCTATTTTAATTGATCATATACTCAGAAAAAGTTATTTTAAGGGTAAAAACAGTAATATTACTAATCTTAAGTAAACACTACTGCTGGGTAATTCCATGGCGAATGACCAGAAATTTTCAAGAATGTCACCTTATATCTCAGATTTTGCTGATTTTTATACAGTTAAGAGTACTTTGTAAAATAAGAATTTTTTAAAACTTTTAGCCCCTAGCTCCAAGAAGATCCAAAAATATGACCATTTTACTTTCAATAGATATTGGCCAGTCCCCTCAGAATTGCAACATTTATTTAGAGGTTTCAAATTACATTACTTTAAAAATATTTGATCTTTTAACTTAAAAATTTGAACTTGGCTATTTTCAGTGGCGACAAATCCAATGAAATAAAAGGAAATGTAAAAATTTTTTATTTAGTACCTGAATTTATCAATTTAAATAAATTTAGGCAATTTTTTATATACCTCATTTTGATGCTCAAAAAACTATGTGGCCTTGATTATATCATAAAATTTACACATCATTCTTTCAGAAAACATAAGGATTTTGATCTGCAAATACATGGATTTTCATATTTGGATAACGGTCCCCCCATTTGTAGCAAAATATTGCAACTGATTTTTCATTACCTTTCTGACTAGCTGGAACTCTGAAATTATTGGGATTTCTGAAGCACCAATAAACGTGCATATTAAAATTGTTTCTAGGATCCAAGACACCATGGGGGGTTGGATTATGTGTCCCACTTTTTTTTAGCTGAATCTTGCAATAAATTTTTCACTACTTTCAAGACAAACTTGAGAAAAAGAAATTTATTACCTATTAAATTCATCATTAACATTACCAAATTTATTACAATTATTTTTTTCAATTCACCTCCCAAGGCCAAAAAGACCACTACAGTCAAGGAGGCTACTTTTAGATGTGATTACAATCCTCTCTTAACTCTATAACTCCGAAACACAAATCATGACGAAAAAGACTGTTGCGCAGAGAAACAAGTTGAGCGCAGTACTACTAGGGACATGGTGGGGATCAAACTTGGAACTTCTTGCTTATAAGGCAAGTGCTCTATTACTACACCACTATTGCATTAACCATTTAAACAATCTTGTTAAAAAACTATTAACCAATTAAACAATCTTGTTAAAGAACTATTAACCAATTAAACAATCTTTTAAAAAAACTATTAACCAATTAAACAATCTTGTTAAAAAGACAAAAAATTATCTTTTACATTCAAAAAAAGATTAAAAAAATCAATCGCTGTTTAGTTTCCCATTACAATAGTGTTTAAGTTGTATTAATTAAATTAATTTTTTTTTTTTTTTTTTATTTGCATTCACTCCCAACAAGGCTGCAAGCAACCACTATTAAGTTGGGAGTTACTAGGAAAAAAAAAAAGAACAGAGTTATAGAGCAAGGAAACGGTTGACAGAAGACTTAAAAAGTTGAAGGTTGTATGAGTCAGGAAAACATGAAGATGGGAGAGAGTTCCAAAGGATTGAAGTGCGGGGAAAAAAACTAGATGAATAAAAGTTTTTAGAACATGCAGGGACAGATACAGAAAACGAATGAGACTTAGCTGAATGACGAGTAAAACGAGAATGAATTTTAGTTGATGGAACTAGAGATGATAACTCGTTTGAGCAGTGACCATGATAGTATCTGTAGAAAAGAGAAAGAGATGCAACTTTACGACGATGGGAAAGAGGTTCAAGCTTAGCAGATAGTCCAGGTCCAACAACATTTACAATGCGTTTTTGGACCTTGTCAAGAATAGAGAGTGAATCGTTAGAAGAACCAGCCCAAATATGACAACAGTATTCCATACAGGGACAAATAAGAGATTTGTAGAGGTAGAGAATGGAATCAGAAGTAAGGAAATGGCGAGCACGATAAAGAGAAGCAACCTTAGCAGAAGCTAATTTAGCAATCGATTGTATATATGGTTTCCATGAAAGGTCAGTAGTAAGGGATAATCCAAGAAGACGTAAAGAGGACGACTCAGTAAGAGGATTGCCATTCATTAATATAGGAATTTTGACCATATTACGGTAGTTGTTTGCAGTAAGCAATTGGGTTTTTTTAGAGTTGAAATTCACAAGCCACTGTGAACCCCAATCTATTACTGAAGTGAGATCAGATTCAAGATCAGCTGCTTGTTCTAGGCGATCGAAAAGAGAAGACTTTTTGTCAAGACAGGAGTATAAAGTTGAGTCATCAGCAAAAAGAGCTACTTTAGATGAAAGGTTGTCAGGAAGATCGTTTATGTAGATAAGAAACAAAACAGGGCCCAGGATGGAACCTTGGGGAACCCCAGAAGTTACTGGAAATAAAGAAGAGTGTTGGCCTTCAAGGATGACTTTAATAAACCGGTCAGAAAGAAATGATTTGATAATCTCAAAAACTTTCCCAGAAACACCATATGAAGCAAGCTTATGGAGAAGACCAGCATGCCAAACTTTGTCGAAAGCTTTAGATATGTCGAGAGCAATAGCCCTAGCCTCACCGCCTCTATCTAATGCACGATAAAATCTTTCAGTTACAGCAGTTAGCAAGTCGGCCGTAGAGCGAGAGGATCGAAAACCGTATTGATTGTCTGACAGCAGTTTATTTGACTCAAGATGAGATGTGAGGAATTTGTTGATTAAAGACTCAAAGACCTTGCTAATAACAGAAAGAAGACTGATCGGACGATAATTGGAGGGGTCAGAATTTTCTCCAGAGTTTTTGAATATTGGAACCACAGATGCCATTTTCCAACAAGCAGGAAAACAAGACTCAGTCAAACACTTGTTAAATAGTTTAGAGAGAATTGAAGAAAGTTCTGGAGAACAATTCTGCAAGACTGTGACAGGAATGTTGTCTGGACCACAAGCTGTAGACGAGTTTAATTGAGATATGACTTTAGCAACAGAAGCCGGAGTGATTTGAATGTCTAACAATGGGTCAACCTGTTTGACTGGAATGGAAGGAAGAGAATGTCCATAAGATTCAAGAGTGGAATTAGAAGAAAAGTTCTTTGCAAACAGTTCTGCCTTATCCCTGGGAGAGGTAACAAGATCAGTCCCATGAATGAGAGATGGAATGTTCGATCTACCCTTGTTAACAATGCTGTTGAAGATTTTCCAAAAGTCTTTAGAGCCTAACTTCTGCAATAAGATGCGAGATTTAGTGAACTGAGAATAATGGAGTTTAGCATCAGAAAGCACCTTTTTACATCGATTTCTTGCAATAATAAATAGCCGTTTGTTCTCAAGAGAGTTGTTCTTTTGAAAAAGATGAAAAAAATGGTTACGATTGGATATAGCAGCCGCACAAGAAGGAGAAAACCATGGAGTAGAATGAGGCTTAACTTGAAACCGACGAGAGGGAATAAAAGCTTCCATTCCAGCCTGAATCCAGGAGGTTACGTAGGAGGCACATTTGTCAGCTGAGAGAGAAAAAACATCAGCCCAAGGACCATCACGAAGAAAATCACGAAAGGAATCCCAGTCAGCTTTAGGGTAGTAGTAGGTGGTGCGATGATAAGGTGAGCCCAAAAAAGAAGTACGAGAACAAAGATTTATAGAGATCATTGCATGGTCAGAACCACCTAAGGGAGAAAAGGGAGAAACTGAACATAAGCTAGGGTCAGAGACAAGACATAAGTCAAGGAGTGAAGGTAAATGATTAGGGTTGTCAGGAAAACGAGTCACAAAGTTAACTATCTGAGTAAGAGATTGAGAAACGCAGAAGAATTACTATTAGTTTCTCATTTTTTTAAATTTAATCTAAAATGCAACTTGGTAGTTAGTTTTACAATAAGAATGGATTCATGTAATTTTGGAAAACTGTCAAATGAAACTTATCATAAAATAATTTATTGTTAAAAAACTGATTTAAAGAGATTTGATTGTAATAGAGAAGATGCCAGAGAAGAACTATAACAGAGAAGTTTATAAATCTGAAATAACAGAGAACAAAACTATAACAATCTGCCATCATCATAAAAAGATTTAAAAAGTAAAAAAATTCCTGCAATTAGGAGCTATCACCAAATTAACCCAGAATCTATAGATACTATTAGATTTAAATGAATAAGTGAAGATGGTAATATAACAGGCTTTTTATGGTATTAAAGTTGACAAACTAATCAGCAAACTAACATTAACACATTGAAATTTGAGTTTATTCTGCGTTAATACTGTGTTGATATGTTTCATTGGATTAGTATAATAAATTAAATTTATGGCATTGAAATCTTTTCATGATTATGACAGATTGTTAAAATTTGTAATCTGTTAAAGATGTTATAGCAACATTTAATAACATAGATGAGTATTTGACTTTATGGAAATCCCTGAAATTTTTTTTCTACGATAATCCCGGAAAATAATTTTATTAAAAATTGATCGCATTTAACTGAAAAGCAGAATTTAGATTATTTTGAAACGGAATTTAGATTATCTAACTTTTTACAAAAGGAACTTCTAACTTTTTACAAAGGAATTTCTAATATTCGAAAAAGTTTGAATGAATTAAAAAGCAAAAAAAAAAAAAAAAGATCTCGTGAAAATTTTAATTATAGAAAACATATTTGTTTAAATGCAAAA